TAGGATGACACACAATCAGACACAACAGGGTAGGGTCACACACAATCAGACAACAACGGGGTAGGATGGCACACAATCAGACACAACAACAGAGTAGGATGACACACAATCAGACAACAACGGTGTAGGATGGCACACAATCAGACACAACAGGGTAAGGTGACACACAATCAGACACAACAGGGTAGGGTCACACACAATCAGACACAACAGGGTACGATGACACACAATCAGACACAACAACAGGGTAGGGTGACACACAATCAGACACAACAACAGGGTACGATGACACACAATCAGACACAACAACAGGGTACGATGACACACAATCAGACACAACAACAGGGTAGGGTGACACACAATCAGACACAACAGGGTAGGGTGACAAACAATCAGACACAACAACAGGGTAGGATTACAAACAATCAGACACAACAACAGGGTATGGTGACACACAATCAGACACAACAGGGTAAGGGTGACACACAATCAGACACAACAGGGTATGGTGACACACAATCAGACACAACGGGGTAGGATGGTACCCAATCAGACACAACAACAGGGTAGGGTCACAAACAATCAGACACAACAACAGGGTAGGGTCACACCCAATCAGACACAACAACAGGGTAGGTCACACACAATCAGACACAACAACAGGCTAGGGTCACACACAATCAGACACAACAGGGTAGGGTCACACACAATCAGACACAACAGGGTAGGGTCACACACAATCAGACACAACAACAGGGTAGGTCACACACAATCAGACACAACAGGGTAGGGTCACACACAATCAGACACAACAACAGGGTAGGGTGACACACAACCAGACACAACAACAGGGTAGGGTGACACACAATCAGACACAACAACAGGGTACGATGACACACAATCAGACACAACAACAGGGTACGATGACACACAATCAGACACAACAACAGGGTATGGTGACACACAATCAGACACAACAGGGTAGGGTGACAAACAATCAGACACAACAACAGGGTAGGATTACAAACAATCAGACACAACAACAGGGTATGGTGACACACAATCAGACACAACAGGGTAGGGTGACACACAATCAGACACAACAGGGTATGGTGATACACAATCAGACACAACGGGGTAGGATGGCACCCAATCAGACACAACAACAGGGTAGGGTCACAAACAATCAGACACAACAACAGGGTAGGGTCACACACAATCAGACACAACAACAGGGTAGGTCACACACAATCAGACACAACAACAGGGTAGGGTCACACACAATCAGACACAACAGGGTAGGGTCACACACAATCAGACACAATAACAGGGTAGTTCACACACAATCAGACACAACAGGGTAGGGTCACACACAATCAGACACAACAACAGGGTAGGTCACACACAATCAGACACAACAGGGTAGGGTCACACACAATCAGACACAACAAGAGGGTACGATGACACACAACCAGACACAACAACAGGGAACGATGACACACAATCAGACACAACAACAGGGAACGATGACACACAATCAGACACAACAACAGGGAACGATGACACACAATCAGACACAACAACAGGGTAGGGTGACACACAATCAGACTCAACAGGGTAGGGTCACACACAATCAGACACAATAACAGGGTAGTTCACACAATCAGACTCAACAGGGTAGGATGACACACAATCAGACACAACAGTGTAGGGTGACACACAATCAGACACAACAACAGGGTAGGGTGACACACAATCAGACACAACAGTGTAGGGTGACACACAATAAGACACAACAGTGTAGGGTCACACACAATCAGACACAACAACAGGGTAGGGTTACACACAATCAGACAACAACAAGGTAGGATGACACACAATCAGACACAACAGTGTGGGGTGACACACAATCAGACACAACAGGGTAGGGTGACACACAATCAGACACAACAGTGTAGGGTGACACACAATAAGACACAACAACAGGGTAGGGTCACACACAATCAGACACAACAACAGGGTAGGGTCACAAACAATCAGACACAACAACAGGGTAGGGTCACACACAATCAGACACAACAACAGGGTAGGTCACACACAATCAGACACAACAACAGTGTAGGGTCACACACAATCAGACACAACAACAGGGTAGGTCACACACAATCAGACACAACAACAGGGTAGGGTCACACACAATCAGACACAACAGGGTAGGGTCACACACAATCAGACACAATAACAGGGTAGTTCACACACAATCAGACACAACAGGGTAGGGTCACACACAATCAGACACAACAACAGGGTAGGTCACACACAATCAGACACAACAGGGTAGGGTCACACACAATCAGACACAACAACAGGGTAGGGTGACACACAACCAGACACAACAACAGGGAACGATGACACACAATCAGACACAACAACAGGGAACGATGACACACAATCAGACACAACAACAGGGAACGATGACACACAATCAGACACAACAACAGGGTAGGGTGACACACAATCAGACTCAACAGGGTAGGGTCACACACAATCAGACACAATAACAGGGTAGTTCACACAATCAGACTCAACAGGGTAGGATGACACACAATCAGACACAACAGTGTAGGGTGACACACAATCAGACACAACAACAGGGTAGGGTGACACACAATCAGACACAACAGTGTAGGGTGACACACAATAAGACACAACAGTGTAGGGTCACACACAATCAGACACAACAACAGGGTAGGGTTACACACAATCAGACAACAACAAGGTAGGATGACACACAATCAGACACAACAGGGTAGGGTGACACACAATCAGACACAACAGTGTAGGGTGACACACAATAAGACACAACAGTGTAGGGTGACACACAATCAGACACAACAGGGTAGGGTGACACACAATCAGACACAACAGTGTAGGGTGACACACAATAAGACACAACAGTGTAGGGTGACACACAATCAGACACAACAGTGTAGGGTGACACACAATAAGACACAACAGTGTAGGGTCACACACAATCAGACACAACAGGGTAGGGTCACACACAACCAGACACAACAACAGGGTAGGGTCACACACAATCAGACACAACAACAGGGTAGGGTGACAGACAATCAGACACAACAAGAGGGTACGATGACACACAATCAGACACAACAACAGGGAACGATGACACACAATAAGACACAACAGGGTAGGGTGACACACAATCAGACAACAGGGTAGGATGACACACAATCAGACAACAACGGTGTAGGTTGAAAATTATTGTTTAACAAATATGTGTTGTCTGATGTTTTATTTTATTTTAAGTCCTATTTCGTCGTAATCAGCAATGATATTTAATACCTCATGTTGGTACTGGTATACTGAACAAACTGAGAGCACCATCCTCGGGTAATCCAGAAATGATTAATTTCAGCAAATATAGCAGTGACGAACTGTGTCAGTTTGATATTCAGTTTCATAATAAATAGTTTCATTTTAATGTATGTTCAATTGATTATTGCAGAATGAACACTGCACAGCCTTTGAAACGTACTTGCATTCTACAGGCCGAGTCGGCTATACAAACGCCCGCTATTGTTTAGACCGATCGATATATTGTACATATTTGTATCAATGAGGACTTCTATAGATTTGCTCCATCGGCGTAGTCAGGCTGCTAGGCGTGCCGCTGTGAGTCAGTAACTCGGAGTTTAAGATCGGTAGAGGCTGTGTCCTTACACCCTATACGCCGTAAGTCATCAACAACGCTTTGATGATACGGCTGTTTATTGTTTGTGAATGATATGTATCCCTAGTTCGGGCTGTAGTTTATCATTTACAGCCACGAATATGTCATACGTCATCGTGACATTAGTTTCAGGATTTGTCCCAGCCTAGAAATAGTGTAACCTAGAATACGACATAGGCTGTGGGGTACGTCTGTCCTTCCGATTAAAGGGACGTTTCTGTCGAACGCTTGTCTGTAAGTTGATTATTATGTGTTTACTTTTTTTTCTACCCTTGCCTTGTCACTCACCCTTAAAACCCCACCTATTCCCCAGAAACCAACCTTACCTGTTCGTCGCCATAAAATACCTGCGCCGAAGTGAACCTTATCTTTGGGCACTGTAATGATTGACCTTAATCATGTACCAAGTGTGTGTTTCTTCTCTGCCGGACTCTGGGGCAGGTTGTCATTCTATGCCGTCATACACCCATTCTAGGGCTGTGACGAGTCCAAATTTACTACCCGGGTACCCACCCCTCTATTACCCGACCCTACCCGGGTACCCACTGTTGGTCTCAAGAGGTAGGTACAAACTGTCCGATTGGGGAAAGTTTGACCGTAGCTCTGGTAAAATGTGTTCAGATACACTGAAGTTGACTGAAGTTTGATTATCATTCAAACATATAAAAGTCAGAAGGAATGGGCGTAGTAGTCAGGAAGAACTGCGAACATTAGTGACTTGTAGTTTAAACATAGAGTTTTAGATACTTTTTGTCATTAAACAATATATCGCGTGACTAACCATGAGTCCTGGTAGTCCTGTGGGTACCTGGGTCCTACTCAGTACCCACCCGACCTGAGTACCCGAGTTACCCGTCCCAGCCCTAACCCATTCAATATAATTAGACTGTCACACCTTTAGCTCTGGTCTGTGGCGGAGGCTGTTATCAGCCCTGTCAACATAAAAAAAACTTTTCCATTTTCATCTTGACTACCACACCCATCACCACACCCATCGCCCGTAACTCTAGTATCCCTGACCCTGGTTTATCTGTCACCAACACCTCACACAACACGCCACCCCAATTGTATCCCCACCCACACCCACGTACACGTGTGCTACATGGATCGCACGCCCTATCCCACATCACTCCGAGCTCTGCCTACGGTATCCCAGATAGTCACCGCTTGTTATCTGTGGCCCAGCTATGACGTGTCCTCGCCCCCACCCTCCCAGTGTTGCTGATCTCTGTGTTTTGTGTTACAGATTCCCTCTGCACAGGCCGCCAGTATGTCAGGTGAGTGAAGAGCTTGGACCTTGTACTGTATTGTCACAACGTAACACTGTGTTATAACACAGCAGTTGAGATCTTGCAATAGTATGTGGTGTATGCTTCTTAAATCTGATTTATCAATAAATCTTTAAATCTGACGTTTTTCTCTTCAATAATAATCATATTCATAGTCATATATGTTATGTCCGTGTATATACTGTATTGACGTAATAGGATCGAGTGTCTCGATAAATATTATATCTAAAGCAGGTTGTTGTTTTATTTTGTAATTATTGTTTTGTAAGATATTGCAGTATCTGAATATATTTGTCTAACCAACTGTATTTCCCCACGTCTTAAGTCCAAAATTAGTATTGTTTTGTCCAAAGTGGAATTTTATGGCTTTTTAGGCCAAGGTGAATTATTGTTGCATAAACTTTCATCTCGTATAGTTCGAATATTGTTTGTTAAGTCCACGTACAAGGCATCTTTTAATACCTTGAACATGGTAGCATGTCTCACGACAATGCTAAGTCTCATGGAGGTATAGTTGTGTCGATGTCTCAAGCAGAAAGAAAATGTTTGTTAAGTCTTAAAGGTGTTCTCATACCTACTACTAACGAAAATATCTCCAATCACGCAACCATGACGTTTGGGAATTGCATGTTCAGTCGTCCATTCAATACTTTGTATTTCGAATCAAGTATTGTGGGTGTGTGCGAAATGTCTGAATCGCATGGAAACGACCGCTTGAGTCGTTTGTTTCTTGTTAGACAGTGACGCAGTCTGTCTACGTATACTCCATTCAAAAGCTTTGTATCGTTACATTTGTCATGAATAAAACTTTGACATGGTCATAAATGACTTCATTTACATACATGAAATGCACACATACATTCACTGTATACCGGGGTCTGAATATGAATGTGATAAAGCACTGCATACCTCTATGGCAATGTGTGTACTGTTTAACCAGGTGCGTCATATTCACTTTGAAGATATGATTGTGCATGCTTAATCATACAGGACTAATACACAATGTATATATTTGCTAGTTAAATATCCAGAAGGACATAAATTGAGGGACTAAAGAAAATATACCGATTTTTATGTAATTGAAAATTGAAAGAACTGTTGTTGTTGTTATTTTTATTTTTATTTATATTTATATTTATATTTTATTATATTATTATTTACTCATCACTTATGTCAGCAATAGTTGTAAAACGTAATCCAAAGCTCAAAATCTCACAACTGATTGAATATTATTGAAACAAGTAGATGAAAATGTCAACAATTTTAATAGTGAAATTGTAATTCGACTGAATACAGATCTAGAAGTACCATGGGTCAGTGGTTAAGATTCGAGTGGGGCCCAGTTGTTAGAACGCGTTCGATGGTCATGCCGAAGAACTGGGTTCGTCTCTCACATGGATATGATGTGTGACATCGACTGTTGGTATTACAGGAATATTGCTGAATGCGACGTAACCCCTAAGTCATCATCTTAATTACCCGAGTACATGTATCAAATAAAAATATAAGCGACAAAACAATTTCCATAAGGATAAGAATCTCTGCAAAAAGAAGAGTTTGTTGTACGAGTCAGATTATATCATAATCATGTGTCTGTGAATCACTATCAAATAGTTCGCGAAAAGGTGAGCGTGTCCTGTACCACCGGTGGCACCCGTCACAAACACATGCAAAGGCAATCAATTGTTCACCTGAAATAGCAGGGGAAAATTAGGGATTTCACCATTACGTCACTTTTATCAGTGATGCTTCAACTCTAAAAGTTCATTTTGGTCGCAACATGTCTCGAGTAGGTCTTGTATGCGGACTGTACATACAGAAAATAATATCGAAGATTACAAAATTGTGAGGATATATGCATAATAATGTATACGACTCGTGACCATGTTTTATCGTATCGATTATATTAATCGCATTCACATATTCATAATGATATATTTGTGTAAATATTTACATGTTGTATACTCAGTGTTACAGTATTTTTAAGTATCACATATATGGCAAAGTAGGGATGTGCTGTTACGTAAACCTGACACCTTAACAAGTATATCGTTTACGTATACTTATATAGAGAGTATATTGATAAGAGAAGGGTTGTAGGAAAAAACAGTGTTATTTATACAATAAACAGTGTATAGGTCCATGAGTACAATCCCTGACAAGCGACATGTCGCGAGCTTTACCAACTGCCTGTTAAATATATTATTCTACAATCTCTAAACCAGATGGACCCACTCCTTTTGAATATCGACTGTTTATTGGCAAACACGGTCAATGCCTAGAGTCGACGTACCCTCTCTGGCCGTACAGTGACCCGAATGGCTACTGAATAGCCACACGTTCTCGATTAACTCATAATGTATTTAGACAGGTGCAGGACTGTCAGTGTGTTCTTTTACTTGAAACTGAAACTTTAAGACTACTAGTGGATATACTGATACGAATTTTCATCTTTATTGTGCATGTGTGACAAAATAAATAAATGAATATTGAGCTTATTGAGGGTAATATAAGCTCCTTTACTTAATGGGTTTGTATACACGATGGTCCTCTATCACAACGTAGCAATACATAATGACTCCAAAATCATCGGAGTAGTAGTAACAACGTCGGTATTAGGAATTTAGTTTGGCGCCGCAGTCAACACTATGCCAGCTATGTCACGGCGCCCATAAATAGCCTCGTGTGACAAAACCAGTAGCGGGGTGCGAGGACACGCAATCAACCACATCACCGAGCCCGACGACCTGAGTCAGTTTAGTCCGTCACATGACAAGCACGAGAGTGCTTGCGGATTTGCGAATAACAATGACCCGGGTCTCCACTGGGCGGTATTATTACCATAGTAATAGTTCCAGTAGTAGAAGTAGTGGTAGTGGTAGTAGTAGTAGTGGTGGTGGTTTTTGTTTGTTTGTTTGTTGTTTAACGCCGCACTCAGCAATATTCCGGCTATATGACGGCGGTCTGTAAATAATCGAGTCTAGACCAGACAATCCAGTGATTGACATCATGAGCATCGATCCACGCAATTTGGTGGTGGTGGTAGTAGTAGTAGTGGTAGTGATTGTGGTAGTGGTAGTGGTGGTAGTGGTAGTAGTAGTAGTAGTAGTAGTGGTGGTGGTGATAGTAGTTTTTGTATTATTTGTAGTAGTAGTAGTAGTAGTAGTAGTAGTAGTAGTAGTAGTAGTTCCAGCAGTATTTATTACGTAAACGGCGGTAGACGACGGGTCGTCTTCGACACAGTACTTGTACACGCAGTATCTGCGTGAGTCTACAGATAGTCCAGCACATACGTATACACTGTTGTCCCCGGAATTATGTGGGGCGTGGAGGCGGATCGCGGCACTTTATCGCTGTTGACACGGTGTGCACGAATGCCAAGCATATCGACTTCTCAGCGTTAACGTTTGATGTGGAGACAGTCGATGACGGACCAACTTTACTCTTGTTCTCTACGGGGGATAATACACTCGTTGCGGTTGTAGTTGTAATAGTAATTTTGGATAATGACAGTGATCGTATAATAATAATTATGGCCAGTCATTTGATCCTGGAACCCCTAAAGGACGCAAAAAGTAGTTGCAATATTAAGGAGAGAAGTAAAAGTGATACATGTATACATTATGTTAAAACCAGTAACAGGTGAGGTGAAGTGGGGTTTGACAGCGCGTTCAAGGTTATTACAGTTACACAGAGGCGTGCATGCACTGCCAGTCCTTGGTCTATCCCTTCAATGCCCACCGCCAACCAGGGTTCAAACAATTGCCATCTTGTAACGTTTTTTTCGTATTACGCGACCAGGGGATTAAACAACCGAGCTTCTGCTCTCCGGGCAGACTCTCTATCCACTGTACCACGGAAGCAGTCACTGCTCGTAATAAAAGTAATATAACCAGTAATAATAGTGAGTGATTATTGTTATTAGCCGCTTTTAGCAATATTAATAATATTCCAACAATATGACGGTGAGGGACACAAGAATGGGGCTTCACACGTTGTACCCTTGTGGGGAATCGAACCCGGTCTTTGACGTGACGAGCCAACGCTTTAACCACTAGGCTACCCGACCGTCCTATAGTAACAGTAATGATACAGTAGTAATAATGGTTGAAACAACAATTCTAATAAACATGGTTAGAACAGGACGTGTAACTGTAAGGGTGATTAAATAACACAATCATAATTTAAATTAAATATAATCTAAAAGAAATATTTAGGTTACCCAAATACCATAAAACCCATTAAGATCAGACGTCTCTGTTATAATGATATAAAAACAAAACTTATCAGTTTGGGATACTCTAGAAGTTACAAATGCGTCCTCAGTAAATCCGCACCAGTTCTGGGTTGATTGTAACAGGTAGTTGATATTCAAATACTATAATTAATTCACGACTAGTAAAGGACCGATTATTAGTTGGGAGTTGGACAGACAGTGGATAGGGGATAGGGAGTTGGAGAGACAGTGGATAGGGGATAGGGAGTTGGAGAGACAGTGGATAGGGGATAGGGAGTTGGACAGACAGTGGATAGGGGATATGGAATAGACAGACAGTGGATAGGGGATAGGGAGTTGGACAGACAGTTGATAGGGGATATGGAATAGACAGACAGTGGATAGGGGATAGGGAGTTGGACAGACAGTGGATAGGGGATATGGAATAGACAGACAGTGGATAGGGGATAGGGTGTTGGACAGACAGTGGATGGGGGATAGGGAGTTGGACAGACAGTGGATAGGGGATAGGGAGTTGGACAGACAGTGGATAGGGAGTTGGAGAGACAGTGGATAGGGGATAGGGAGTTGGACAGACAGTGGATATGGAATGGACAGACAGGGGATAGGGGATAGGGAGTTGGACAGACAGTGGATAGGGGATAGGGAGTTGGACAGACAGTAGATAGGGGATAGGGAGTTGGACAGACAGTGGATAGGGGATAGGGAGTTGGACAGACA